TGCGTTCCTACCGAGGACTATGCACGGTCCGAATGAGCCCGACGAAGGACAACCACCAGTCGCACCTGGTACGCGGGTACGGAATTACAGCAGCAGCATCCCTTCCTGCATCAAGGACGTCCGCGCCAGGCAGCAGATTGCGCAGAGTCGCGCAGCGCAATTGGAAGAACAACGTGCGCGTCGCCGTGGGAACGGCCGGGTTAAAGGCCATATGGGTGATTATCGTGGGAGGGCGACATCCCGTGAACCCCGTGGAGACGCGCCCTCGCGCGTCAGCTACAGCGTTGGCGCATCTGTGGGTTTGCAGGTCGAGACCAGGCCAGACGTAGCAGTCGCCAGATACGCCAGCAACGACAACTCCTGCTCAGTCAGCCCAGATATCCACAATCCTGGTGAGTACTTGGAACGGTTGCCATGCAACCAAATATTTCATGAGGAGTGCTTGCGCAGACGTATTGTATCATGGAATCGGGGCGATGCCCCAGACTGTCCGCACTTTCGAGCACCTGGAGTCTCAACGGCGGTCTTTCCATATGCGGGTGCTGCTCCACCAGGAGACGTTGCAGGATTTTTTGCCGCCCTGCGACGGCAACCCGATCAATTGAGGCCTGCTGATTGATCGCCGAGGGCAGCTCCGACCACGACATCTCCGCCATGCGCCGCGCCCGCATGTGTACAGTCTGATGGTTGAGGATGACGTGACATCCTGAGCAGCAGATCGAGGCATGGGCCGCAACGCAGGGCCCTGACCTCTCTCGCCTGACATTCTGACGTTGACCGAACACGTTCGCTCGACAGCCCTGCGTCGCGGAGCCGCGACTCCAGGGGCAGCCGCGTCAAGACGACTTCTAGGACCAAGCTGCCGGACGGGAGACACTTTCATGCTTGTTGTGGACCTGGGGTCATGTATCAACCTCATTGGAGATCAGACCTTTGAGAACGAGTTTAACGTCGTGGTTGCCAAGTGCGGCTTTTCAGCAGCATTATCACGATAGGCCAACACGTTCAACATTAGTAGTGTATGCCAAGGGTCCGCGCCCTGCGACGACATGGCGAACGTTCCGATAGCGGTGGCGCAGCAGGGCGAGAACCAGGGTGACGCGCTCACCGCCAGCGTCGCGATCGACTTGGACTTTGCTGCCATATTGGACAACGCGTCGATGCAACAAAAGGACGCTATCCTCACCCAGGAGGAGTTGCTCGGGACACATGATGATTGCCTGATGGCGCGCCATTGCATCCAACTTTCCAAAGCTGCAAAGATAACGCGGATGCTAGAACCACCGAACGGTCACCTGGTCCCCCCCCTTTGGCCATTTCGGTATACAGGACAGCAAGGACCTCGTGCGCGAGGTGGACCATGCAATCTGCCTCCTCGACAACCTGCCGGCGGAGATATGCGCCGTGCGCGAGTCCTGGGCCCAATGAAACTTGAAATCAGCAGCCCGTTCTTCTGCCTCAGCTTCTGTGTGCAGGGACTGGTTGCAGCTAGTCTGGCTGCGGCTGTGTTTCGACTTTGTGGTGGCAGCTTCGGAGGGCCCCGATCAAAAAGGAGGTGGTTCTCTAATGTAGCCCCCCCCCAGGAGCCCTCGTAATTGCCTTTTGGGCTTTCTTGGGGCCCTCCTGGGGCGTTCTTGGGCGGTTTTGAGGCCTTCTTCGGGGCCTCTTGAGCCTCAGCCGGGGATCTCTTTTGGCCATCGTGGGGCCACTTCGAGGCTTCAAAACCGCATTGGGAACGAACATGTAGGAACGGCAAATATCTTTGATGCTTTCTATGCGTTTGAACAATTTTTGGTCTGGTGACCTCTTGGGGATGTCCTGCCTGCGAAAGCTTGCAAACAAGGTGGCTCGTCCCCTGGTGCGTTCTGTGACACGTCCCATGGCGCGTCCCCCGGGCACGCCCCTTTGCTTGCGCGTCCCCTGGCACATGTGCGGTTCGTTCCCTGACACGTTCCGTGGCGCATCCCATGGTACGTCCCTCGGCACGTCCCTTGGCGTGTCCCTGGCAGTTCCATTGGCGCGTCCCCAGGCGCGTCCATGGCCGCGTCCCCTGGCACGTCCACTGGCGCGTCCTGTCGCGTCCGTTGCCGTGTCCCGTGGCGCGTCCAGTAGCGCGTCCCCTGGCATGGCGTCCCCTGGCACGTCCCCCCCCTTGGCACGCTACTTGGCACGTCCCCTGGCGCGTTGTTTGGCATATCTACGGGATGTGCAAAAGGAATCGGGGCCTTGACAGCGCGGGCGCAATGTAATTTACTCATGAAGTTGTCCATGATCGCGCGGACGCAGGGTCATTTACAAGGGTTCGTGGCCCAGGGGCCGCGGATCCAGCGTGAGCTACTCGGGGTTGTGGCGCAGGGGGGCCCGGATCCTGCGTAATTTGCAAAATGATCGTGGCGCTGGGTGTTCGGATTCAACGTGATTTGCAAATGACCGTGGCTTTGGGAGCGCGGGCCCAGGGAAATTTGCGAGGGATCGTGGCCCTTGGAGCGTGGATCCAGCGGAGAAGAGTTATTGAACAGGGTGTGCCGTCCCATGGCTCGTCGTCCCATGGCGTGTCCCCCGACACGTCCTCAGACGCAATAGATTACAGCACAGCTCAACGCAGTATGAAACCACAGCTCAGCACAATGCAGCGCAGCACAGCACAGCATGGCCCCTGGCACGGTATAGTCGCCATGGATATCCTTAGCATTACGATTGCCCGTTGACCAAGTTATGGCAGTTCTGTATCTCCTCCTGGCGTCGTGGATCGATCATGTTTTTCAGAGGACTCGTCTCTTGGAGGCACACTGCGAAAGACTTACCGCTGGCGTGCCGTGGCGTCGCGTGCCGTGCCCGCGTGCCCTGCCGTGCCGTGCCCTGGGCTTAGAATGCGAGACATGTGCAGTGCCGTGCCGTGCCGTGCCGTGCCGTGCCCGCGCTCGGCTTCCTGCGCTACCGGCCACCCACGCTGAGCACGCCGCCCGTACAATCGAGTCACCATAGCTGTTCTCGTGCAGCGTTGCTGTACCGGGTCCCCTTGCACGGTGCTATTGTTTTGACGGGGATGGTGGGGGAGCCCCCACCGTTCCTGGTCGGCAGCTTGTCGCCTCGGTGTGTGTGTGTGTGTGTGTGAGAGTAGCAATAAAGAGCAGTGATGAACCCCTCCCCGGCGGGGAAGAAGGGGTTCGGAAGAGAAAGCGATCGAAACCACTTAAGCCCCAATGGCTGGTGGGAGTCAATGCCAAGGACTCGAAGGGTCTCGAGAGCACTCCACTCAGCGCCTGCAGCTCCGTGGCGGATCGGGACAGAGATCGAGATAAGTTGGTTGACGTGCGCAGGTCAACGCGAGGCAGGAACCTGTATATACATGAATGTACGTGTAGCAGAGGCGGAGACAAGCGCAATCCATGCGTGTGATAACCTGGAAGACTTTCCTTTGCATGACTTTCGCAGGATAGACAGTTTGGTTTGCCCATGCCGCATCTTTGAAGACAAGCAGTGAGTTATTGCACTTTGGAGGTGAAAGCTATGTTGTGTGAGCTATGCGGTGTTAGCTATGCGGAGTAAGCAATGTTGTGTAACATGTAATATGTGTGGTGTAACATATGCTGTGTAAGCTATGTGGTGTGATCTATGCGGTGTGAGCTATGCGGTGTCAGCTATGTGATGTGAGCTATGTTTTGGAAGCTATGTGGTGGTGCGAACTAAGTTGTGCGAGCTATGTGGTGTGATCTACATGGTGCAAGTTCTGTGTTGTAAGCTGTGTATTGCAAGCTATGTTGTGTAAGCTATGTTGCGCGATCTCTGCGGTGTGAGCTATCCGGTGTAAGCTACTTTGCGTGAGCATGAACAAGCTATGTGGTGTAAGCTATGCTATGTCAGCTACGTGGTGCGATACATCTGGTTTGAACTATGCGGTGCAAGGTATGTTGTGGAAGCCATGAGGTACAAGCTATGCGGTGTAAACTATGCGGTGTAAGCCATGTGGTGTAAGCTATGACATGCGAGCTATGCTGTGGGAGCTATGCGGTGTGAGCTAGGTCTTGTAAGCTATCTGGTGTGAACTATGTGGTGAAAGCTATGCAGTCATAGCTATCTGGTGTGCAGCCACGTCCCGTAATCTGTGTGGTCTTGCGCGGTGGGGTGACAGCTGCGCGGTGCGTGCCTGTGCGGCGTAAAGGCATGCCGTGCAGGCTCCGTGGTGCGGGCAAGGACCTGTTGGCCGCGTCGGGGGGGCCCAATCGAGGCGTCCCCGAGCGGGCACGGGGCGCGAGCGCGGCCAAAGGGCCGCAGGAAAGCCGCCCCGCGCACGGGGGTCGCCCCCGGGGCCGCCCACGGGCGGCCCGCGAGGCGCCCGCGCGGCCACCCCTCGGCCTGCTCAGGGCGGGGGCGCGGGCCGCGCCTCCGCGGCGAGCTCGCGCCCACGCAGCGCCCGCGGGGCGCACGGGCGAGGCCGGCACGGGCGCGGACGCGGCGAAGCCTCGGGGATTGGGAAGCGAAGAATGACCTAAACATAACAACTCGGAGGTCCGCGCGGATTTCTCGGATCCGCGCTGGGGCCCTCTGACGGCGCCTCTGGCGCCGCCCCTGGCGCGCTCCGCGCGCCATGGAGGGGGTCCAGCGCCGATCCGAGAATTTCGCGCGGACCTCCGAGTTGTTATGTTTATGTCACGTTTCGTTCCCCTGGGGGAACCCACCCAGAGCGCCCAGGGCGCGCAGGAGGTGCCCACGAGCCCCTCGTGCGCAGGGTGGAGCCCCTGGCCGACGAAGGCCGAGCGGGGCAAGACACACACTGATCGGCGCTGGCGCTGGCGGGGTGGCGGCGCCACCTGGGGCGCCACCGTGGCGAAAGCCCAAGAAACCCACCCAATGGACTAGAGAAAGCGAAGTACGAGCCCCTGGGCGAAAGCACTGTTGAGGGAAGCTGACGAGGGGGAGGCGAGACGAGGGAAATAGGGTCAGCTTGTTGCCAGCTCTTGGAAACATTGACTGGCGGGGTGAGAAATCGTTTTCCACAGGCTGTGCTGACTGCGGCTTGCCGGGGCTCAGAGACTGCGAACTTCGAGTTTCCACTTATGACGAAGGATGGACATCGAGTCCACATTCTGCTGAACGCTACCACCCGCAGGGACGCGAACGGGGATGTAATAGGAGTTGTCGGAGTCGGACAAGACATCACAGAGATCCGGAAAATCTTGACGGAAAGCAAGACGGTCGCAGAAGACTTATCCCGGCTGATCGAGACGGCGAACGCTCCAATCTTCGGGGTGAGCGTAGATGGGCGTGTCACTGAGTGGAATACGAAGGCAGCTGAGTTGACGAAGTACTCGAAGGAGGAGACGATGGGGCAATTGCTTGTGGACAAGTTCATCACACCGGACTATCAGCGGGAGGTGCAGGCTGTTTTGACTGCAGCTTGTCAAGGCTCAGAGACTGCGAACTTCGAGTTTCCACTGATGACGAAGGGTGGGCATCGAATTGACGTCTTGCTGAACGCCACCACCCGTAGGGACGCGAATGGGGATGTGACAGGAGTGGTCGGAGTCGGACAAGACATCACAGAGATTCGCAAGGTACTTACGGAAAGCAAGACGGTCGCAGAAGATCTCTCCAGGCTGATCGAGACAGCGAATGCTCCAATCTTTGGGGTGAGCGTAGATGGTCGTGTCACGGAGTGGAATACGAAGGCAGCTGAGCTGACGAAGTATTCTAAGGAGGAGACGATGGGGCAATTGTTAGTGGACAAGTTCATCACACCGGACTACCAGCGGGAGGTGCAGGCTGTGCTGACCGCAGCATGTCAGGGCTCAGAGACGGCCAACTTCGAATTTCCATTGATGACTAAAGATGGGCATCGAATTGACATCCTTTTGAATGCGACCACCCGTCGGGATGCGAAAGGGACGGTGACAGGTGTCGTCGGTGTTGGGCAGGACATCACAGAGATTCAGAAGGTTTTGACAGAGAGCAAGACGGTCGCAGAAGATTTATCCCGGCTGATTGAGACGGCCAATGCTCCCATCTTCGGGGTAAGCGTCGACGGCCGCGTGACTGAGTGGAACACAAAGGCAGCAGAGTTGACGAAGTATTCGAAGGATGAGACGATGGGGCAATTGTTAGTGGACAAGTTTATCACACCGGACTACCAGCGGGAGGTGCAGGCTGTGCTGACAGCAGCTTGTCAGGGCTCAGAGACGGCTAACTTCGAATTTCCACTGATGACTAAAGATGGGCATCGAATTGATATCCTGTTGAATGCGACCACCCGTCGGGATGCGAAAGGGACGGTGACAGGTGTCGTCGGTGTTGGGCAGGACATCACAGAGATCCAGAAGGTTCTGACAGAGAGCAAGACGGTCGCAGAAGATTTATCCCGGCTGATTGAGACGGCCAATGCTCCCATCTTCGGGGTAAGCGTCGACGGCCGCGTGACTGAGTGGAACACAAAGGCAGCAGAGCTGACGAAGTACTCGAAGGAGGAGACGATGGGGCAATTGCTAGTGGACCAGTTCATCACTCCAGAGTACCAGAAGGAGGTGCAGGCTGTGCTGACTGCAGCTTGTCAAGGCTCAGAGACTGCGAACTTCGAGTTTCCACTGATGACGAAGGGTGGGCATCGAATTGACGTCTTGCTGAACGCCACCACCCGTAGGGACGCGAATGGGGACGTGACAGGAGTGGTCGGAGTCGGACAAGACATCACAGAGATTCGCAAGGTACTTACGGAAAGCAAGACCGTCGCAGAAGATCTCTCCAGGTTGATCGAGACAGCGAATGCTCCAATCTTTGGGGTGAGCGTAGATGGTCGTGTCACGGAGTGGAATACGAAGGCAGCTGAGCTGACGAAGTATTCTAAGGAGGAGACGATGGGGCAATTGTTAGTGGACAAGTTCATCACACCGGACTACCAGCGGGAGGTGCAGGCTGTGCTGACCGCAGCATGTCAGGGCTCAGAGACGGCCAACTTCGAATTTCCATTGATGACTAAAGATGGGCATCGAATTGACATCCTGTTGAATGCGACCACCCGTCGGGATGCGAAAGGGACGGTGACAGGTGTCGTCGGTGTTGGGCAGGACATCACAGAGATCCAGAAGGTTCTGACAGAGAGCAAGACGGTCGCAGAAGATTTATCCCGGCTGATTGAGACGGCCAATGCTCCCATCTTCGGGGTAAGCGTCGACGGCCGCGTGACTGAGTGGAACACAAAGGCAGCAGAGTTGACGAAGTACTCGAAGGAGGAGACGATGGGGCAATTGTTAGTGGACCAGTTCATCACTCCAGAGTACCAGCAGGAGGTGCAGGCTGTTTTGACTGCAGCTTGCCAAGGCTCAGAGACTGCGAACTTCGAATTCCCACTGATGACGAAGGACGGGCATCGAATTGACGTCCTGCTGAACGCCACGACCCGTCGTGATACTAAAGGGCACGTGACAGGAGTGGTCGGAGTCGGACAAGACATCACAGAGATCCGAAAGGTTCTCACAGAAAGCAGGACGGTCGCAGAAGATTTGTCTCGGCTGATCGAGACAGCGAACGCTCCCATCTTCGGGGTGAGTGTAGATGGTCGCGTGACCGAGTGGAATGCGAAGGCTGTTGAGCTAACAAGGTTTCCGAAGGAGGAGACAATGGGACAGCTGCTCGTGGACAAGTTTATCACCAAGGACTACCAGCAGGAGGTGCAGGCTGTGCTGACGGCGGCATGCCAGGGCTCAGAGACAGCAAACTTTGAATTTCCATTGATGACGAAAGATGGGCACAGGATCGACGTCCTCCTGAACGCCACAACTCGTCGTGATGCAAATGGCGACGTGACAGGCGTAGTCGGGGTCGGTCAGGACATCACTGAGATCAGAAAGGTTCTGACTGAGAGCAAGACGGTTGCAGAGGACCTCTCCCGTCTGATCGAGACAGCGAACGCTCCCATCTTCGGGGTGAGTGTAGATGGTCGCGTGACCGAGTGGAATGCGAAGGCTGTTGAGCTAACAAGGTTTCCGAAGGAGGAGACAATGGGACAGCTGCTCGTGGACAAGTTTATCACCAAGGACTACCAGCAGGAGGTGCAGGCTGTGCTGACGGCGGCATGCCAGGGCTCAGAGACAGCAAACTTTGAATTTCCATTGATGACGAAAGATGGACAGCGGATCGATGTGCTACTGAACGCAACTACCCGCCGGGATGCAAATGGTGACGTGACAGGTGTTGTCGGGGTTGGGCAGGATATCACAGAGATACGTAAGGTGCTCACTCAGAGCAAGACCGTTGCAGAAGACCTGTCCAGGCTCATCGAGACAGCCAACGCTCCCATCTTTGGGGTGAGCGTAGATGGCCGAGTCACAGAGTGGAATGCGAAGGCAGTGGAGTTGACGGAGTACTCGAAGGAGGAGACGATGGGCCAGCAGTTGGTTGAGCGCTTTATCACCCCGGATTACCAGCGGGAAGTGCAGGCTGTGCTGACAGCGGCTTGTCAGGGTTCGGAGACTGCAAACTTTGAGTTCCCTCTGATCACGAAGGACGACCATCGTATTGATATCCTGTTGAATGCGACCACCCGTCGGGATGCGAATGGAAACGTGACGGGAGTCGTTGGTGTCGGCCAGGATATCCAGCTGCCTGCGGCCATTCCCGCCACGGTGCCAGGCCAGTATTCTGGGTGGCGACTGTTCGAGGGTGAGAGGGCTGTGATGATGAGGATTAGGATGAGGATGAGGAGAGGATGAGGATGATGATGATGAGTGGGGAAGAGAATGAGGATCATGATGAGGATGATAATGAGGATGAGGATGAGGATGATGATGAGGATGATAATGAGGATGAGGATGATGATGAGGAGGATGATGAGGATGATGAGGATGATGATGCTGATGCTGCTGCTGCTGATGATGATGATGATGATGATGATGACGCTGCTGATGATGATGACGACGACGATGATGATGATGATGATGTTGATGATGATGATGGTGACGACGACGATGATGATGAGGAGCAGGAGGAGGAGAGGGAGAAGGAGGCGGTGGAGGAGGACGAGGATGAGGATGGGGATGAGGGTGAGGATTCTAATGGTGGTGATGATGATGCTGATGATGATGATGATGATGACGATGATGATGATGCTCCTGCTGCTGCTGATGATGATGATGATGAGGATGCCGATGATGATGATGATCACGCTGATGATGCTGATGATGCTGATGATGGTGATGGCGATGCTGCTGATGATGATGATGATGATGATGCTGCTAATGCTGATGCTGATGCTGATGCTGATGCTGATGATGATGATGATGCTGCTGCTGATGATGAAGATAATGATGAATGATGTTGATACTGATGATGATGATGATGATGATGATGATGATGACGACGACGACGACGACGACGATGACGATGATGATGATGATGATGATGATGATGATGATGATGATGATGATGATGATGATGATGATGATGATGATGATGATGATGATGATGATGATGATGGGGATGAGGATGGGGACGAGGATGATGAGGATGATGCTGATGGTGGTGGTGGTGGTGGTGATGACGACGTCGAAGAGGCCGAGGAGGATGAGGAGCAGCGGCAGCAGCAGCAGGAGGAGAAGGATCTGGAGGAGGAGGAAGAGGAGGCCCGTCACATGTGACATCGTTCGTTTTCACTATTTGAGGAGCTCTCGTGGAATTCGTTTGGGCCGTTATGGGGCTGTCTTGGCCTCACGTGAGGCAGTCTTGAGTGTCCCTTGGGGCCGTCTTGGGCCGTCTTGGGGTCCTCTCACGCCAGCTTTTGGCCCTCTTGGGCCATCTTGGGAACCTCTTGGCCGTATGGCGGACGTCTGGGGGCCGTCGTGGGGCCCTCTTGGGCCATCGAAAGGGCTTCTCAGGCCGTCTTGGGTCCTACGGGAGGCTCTCCTGGGCCGACTTAAGGCTGTCTTGAATTCATCTTGTGCCATCGTGGGACCCCTTGGGCCATCTTGGGACCCTTTTGGGGGCCTCCTGGGCCGTCTTGGGGTCATCGCGAAGGCTTCTTGGGCCGTCTTGAGCTGACGGAGGCCTGAAGAGGCGAGAATGCGAACATCATTAAATTGCCCGAGGGGAATCAGTGATTTTGGCTTCTTGTCCTCTTGCTGCCATTTTTGGCCATCTTGGAGGCATCTTGTGAAGGCCTTTCGGCCAGTACCGCCGACCCTGAATTGGGGACGACGACGATGACGACGACGACGGCTGGGATGACGACGATGATGCTGACGCTCTGGAGCCGAGAGCTTCTTCCGGGGAGGGGTGCCCCCCCCCCAGGGGGAGCCAACCCCCTGGACCCCTGCCCCCCCTCCCCGGATCCCCTCCCTACTCCCCCCCGACCTGGAGCCGAAAGTTTCTTCCAGGGAGGGGTGCCCCCCCCCAGGCCCCCCAGGGGGGAGTCAACCCCCTGGACCCCATTCCCCCCCTCCCAGGACCCTTTCCCTACTCCCCCCCCGACCCGGAGCCGAAAGCTTCTTCCAGGGAGGGGTGCCCTCCCCCGGCGAGGGGATCGCAGCCACAGCCCCCGAGGCGTTGCTCGGTTACCAGGAGGGGAAACACACAGACACAATTACTCGTCGATTCCCCAGAGAATATGGGAAAATATGGGAAGTGGGGGGAAGACAAGAACACAGAAAATATGGAAAAATATGGGGACTCTTTTTATTTGTGTGTGTTTATTTGTGTGTCCCAGGGCCCCTTCAGGTTACCCTCTGGCTGGAACGCTCGAGGAGGAGGGCCGGTGGAACGGGGGAACGGCGACGGCGACGACTCAACGGAAAAGCCTCTCACACACGCCGACAGGGTCGGCGAATCTGGGTCGCCTTGGGCCCATCTCGGCCGCCTTCGAGGCATCTTGGGCCACTCTTGGTGTCCTTGGTTGCCTGCGCGGGCGGTTTTGGAAGCTTGGGATGTGGACCTACTGTTTTCAATGAGGGATCGTGGAGCGCGGATCAATTGTTTTCTAACAGGGGGATCGTGACCCTCCTCGGGAGGGGGGGCGGTGCACGCAAGTAGACGCAAGTAAGGGGAAAGTGTGGTGTCCGTTCTTAGAGTACAGAAGCCCTACCAGACAGCCCTTGCAATTCTTCTGCGCCTTGGCGTGCACACGGCACGGTGGCGGATCACGGAGATCAGAAAGATACTGACCGAGAGCAAGACGGTCGCGGAGGACCTATCTCGGCTGATCGAGACGGCAAACGCCCCCATCTTCGGGGTGAGCGTCGACGGCCGTGTCACCGAGTGGAACGCGAAGGCGGCGGAGTTGACCAAGTACCCCAAGGAGCAGACCATGGGACGGATCCTCGTGCAGGAGTTCATCACCAGCGATTACCGAGACCGCGTGCAAGCCGTTCTCACAGCGGCAATTGGGGGGTCCGAGACAGCAAACTTCGAATTCCCCTTGTTGACCAGAGACGGCCAGACAGTGGACATCCTGTTGAACGCCACCACCCGTCGTGATACCAGCGGGAACGTGACGGGAGTGGTCGGAGTAGGCCAGGATATCACGGCGATGAGAAAGGCCTTGACGGAGAGCAAAATCGTTGCCGACGATCTGTCCCGCCTGATCGAGACCGCAAACGCTCCGATATTTGGGGTAAATGTGGATGGGCGTGTGACTGAATGGAACAAGAAGGCGGCCGACTTGTCGATGTTCCCCAAAGAGGAGACAATGGGCAAACTCCTGGTGGACGACTTCATCACTCCAGAGTTCCGAGAGCGCGTCCAGCAAGTCCTGATCTCAGCATGCCAGGGGCTGGAGACAGCAAATTTCGAGTTTCCTCTGATGGCCAAGGATGGGAAACGCAGGGACATCCTGCTGAACGCGACACCCCGCCGTGATGCAAAAGGGACAGTGACGGGAGTGCTGGGTGTCGGGCAGGATATCACGAACATGCGCAAGGCGCTCGAAGAGAGCAAAACAATTGCAGAAGACTTGTACCGTCTGATCGAAACGGCCAACGCCCCCATCTTTGGAGTGACCTTGGATGGTCGCGTGTCGGAATGGAACAGAAAGGCAGCTGATTTGACAGGGTACCCTAAGGAAGAGTCCACGGGGAAGATCATGGTGGAGGAGTTCGTGGCCCAAGAGTATCGAGAAGATGTCCAAACAGTCCTTATGAAAGCGTGTCGTGGATCCGAGACCACCAATTTTGAGTTCCCTCTGATCACAAAGACTGGGCAACGAATTGATATTCTGCTGAATGCCACCACGCGACGCGATGCTGATGGCAAGGTAGTTGGAGTTGTCGGGGTTGGGCAGGACATTACTGAAATTCGCAAGGTTTTGACAGAGAGCAAGACCATTGCAGAAGATTTGTCCCGGTTGATTGAAACTGCGAACGCCCCCATTTTCGGGGTAAGCGTGGATGGCCGAGTCACAGAATGGAACGCCAAAGCCGCAGCTTTGACAAATTATTCCAAGGAGGAGACTATGGGGAAATTGCTGGTGAACCAGTTCATCACTCAAGAGTACCAACAGCAGGTGCAGGCTGTCCTGAATTCAGCATGCTCTGGATCAGAGACTGCTAATTTTGAGTTCCCGCTTATGACGAAGGCCGGAAAGCGTATTGATGTCCTGCTGAATGCCACCACGCGGCGCGATGGGAATGGTAAAGTAACTGGGGTTGTGGGTGTTGGCCAGGACATCACAGAGATCCGCAAGGTTTTGACGGAGAGCAAGTCCATCGCAGAAGATCTGTCGCGGTTGATTGAGACAGCCAATGCTCCCATCTTCGGCGTCAGCGTAGACGGCCGAGTGACCGAGTGGAACAGAAAGGCCGCGGCGCTGTCCATGTACCCCCCAGAGGAGACGATGGGCAGGCTACTGGTTGATGACTTCATCACCAAGGACTACAAACAGCAAGTTCAGGCTGTCTTGACCCAAGCCTGTCAAGGCTTCGAGACGGCGAATTTCGAGTTCCCTCTCATGACAAAGGACGGCAGGCAAGTCGACCTGCTGCTCAACGCCACGCCGCGCCGAGACGCTGGTGGCAACGTCACTGGTGTGGTGGGTGTCGGCCAGGACATCACGCTGATGCGGAAGGCTCTCACGGAGAGCAAGACCGTGGCGGAGGACCTGTCGCGGCTCATCGAGACTGCCAACGCTCCGATCCTTGGCGTCGGCGTCGATGGGCGCGTCACGGAGTGGAACGCGAAGGCAGCTGAATTGACGAAGTTCCCCAAGGGAGAGACCATGGGTAGGAGCCTGGTGGAGGACTTTATCACCGCAGAGTACCGGGACCGAGTTCAGTTGGTCCTGACCGACGCTTGCAGCGGTTGGGAGACAGCCAATTTCGAGTTCCCCCTCATGACCAAAGATGGGAAGAGAATTGACATTCTCCTCAACGCTACTACCCGGCGAGATGCACGTGGCAACATAACGGGCGTTGTTGGGGTCGGCCAGGACATCACGAAGTTGCGTCAGGGCATGGAGGAGAGCAAGAATCTTGCAGAAGGCTTAGCTCGTCTCATTGAGACCGCCAACGCCCCAATCTTCGGCGTCAGCGTGGACGGGCTGGTCACAGAGTGGAACAGGAAGGCCGTTGATTTGACGATGTATTCGAAGGAGGAGACCATGGGCAAGAACCTGGTAGATGGCTTTATCACCGAGGAATACAAAGATCGAGTGCAGAACGTACTGACCCAAGCCTGCCTGGGCCAAGAGACTGCCAACTTTGAGTTTCCGCTCTCGACCAAGGACGGGAAGCGCATAGACATCCTTCTCAACGCAACGACGCGGCGCGACGCCAGGGGCATGATCACAGGGGTTGTCGGAGTTGGCCAGGACTAGGGACAACTAAATCATAAGTGATAGGTGGGATTCGGCATCCTCCCCAATCCTTCTCCCGGTTTCCTTCCTCTCCCTTTCCCAGGGGGAAGGGGATCCCACTATCTTTGTAGTTCTGGGCTGGTTTGAAGGACATCACAAGCATGCGCACGGCTCTGACAAAGAGCAAGAGCCTCGCCGACAGCCTAGCCCGGCTGATCGAAACCGCCAACGCCCCAATCTTCGGGGTGGACACGGACGGCAGAGTCACGGAGTGGAACAGGAAGGCTGCGGACCTGACGAGGCACCAGGGGTTGCTAAAGGTGTCCCTGGATCAAGGTGTCCCCGGCTTTTCGCTTCATTTCGGGGTCCCTGGGGCCCTCTGGGCCTCGTGGGGTTTGCTCTGGAGGCCATTTGGGCCTCCTTGAAGTCCTGGGGACACCTTGGAGCGAGGGACACCTATGGTAGCATCCGAAGGTACTCCAAAGAGGAGACCCTGGGCAGGATGCTGGTGGACGACTTCATCACGCAGGACTACAAGGAGCGGGTTCAGCTCGTCCTCACCCAGGCGAGCCGGGGTTCCGAGACGGCCAACTTTGAGTTCCCGCTCCTGACCAAGGAGGGCAAGCGGATTGACATCCTCCTGAACGCCTCGACGCAGCGGGACGCCGAGGGGACGATCACCGGGGTGGTCGGTGTGGGCCAGGACATCACGAACCTGCGCAAGGCCCTGACCGAGGCGCAGAACCTGGCAGAGGGCCTGTCGCGCCTGATCGAGACGGCGAACGCGCCCATCTTCGGGGTGGGCGTCGACGGCCGCGTGACGGAGTGGAACAAGAAGGCCGCCGACCTGTCCAATTTCTCGAAGGAGGAGACGATGGGCCGGCTCCTCGTGGAGGAGTTCATCACCGAGGAGCACCGGGACCGGGTCCAGAACGTGCTGAACATGGCCTGCATGGGCATGGAGACGGCGAATTTCGAGTTCCCCCTCATGACCAAAG